TCACCTGTTGGACAGGCATGGTTTTCGATACTCCTGACGACCATCGGATCCGCCTCGCCTGGACCCTCCCAAAGTCTGGATCATCTTTACAGAACCCTTGGAGCCCTACCAGGCACTGCCCTTAGTATAAAATTATTGGTATTGCGGGTTTATGATTTGAACTCATATCATTTTTAAGGAAACTGTTTATCTTCCCCCCACCCAAAAATATTCTGTGCTGTATCGGGCGGTCAGATGATTACCAGATGATCCAATTTTCCCTCGTATATTCCGGTAAGTTCCTTTGTTAATAAAAAGCCATGTAGAGTGGGTGACGTCTGCTGGTGTCCATTCCTCCTTCGACCGGCTGCATTTGAGCCCTGGGTCACGGTTGGTGCGGGTAAGGGCCAGGAGCTGGGTCAGCACCACAGCGGCTCGCACCCCGCCTTGATGGGGAAAGAAGGCGAGGCAAGTCATTACACCGCCAAAGTCAACCGATACCAACATTGGCAAGCCACCAGACAAAAAAAAAAAACACCACGCCGATTCGTCCGCAAAAACAACCCAACCCCGGAAGCGGGCTACGCCTCACTGCTTTTCCCGGAACCGGACTATCCGCTTGTCCGCGTGAACCCGGGGCGGCCGGGCGCTCCTACCAGGGCGGACTGTGGGCGCGGAACAGCACTGGGAGGACGCTATTAAAAGCCGGACGCTTCCGGTGGAACGGATCTGTGGCGGGGCTTGCTGGGATCATGGCGGAGAATCACTGCGAGCTCCTGCCGCCGGCCCGGGGCGGCCTCGGGGCGGGGCTGGGTGGCGGCCTGTGCCGTCGCTGCAGCGCGGGGCTCGGCGCCCTGGCCCAGCGCCCCGGCAGCGTGTCCAAGTGGGTCCGGCTCAACGTCGGCGGCACCTACTTCCTCACCACTCGGCAGACGCTGTGCCGGGACCCGAAATCTTTCCTGTACCGCTTGTGCCAGGCCGACCCCGATCTGGACTCGGACAAGGTGAGGGCCGCGCGGGCCAGCCCGGAAGGTCCTGGCCGTCCCGGCCTGCGGCTACCGCACACGTTCTGCTTCGTGCAGAGGAGACCTCAGCGGGAGCGGGCGACTCTCCTCGGGCTTCGAGCCCCGCGATCCCTTGTCACCAGCTCGTCCCCAGCTTCCCCCGACCCCCTACTCTGGGAGGGGAGGACGAGGATGGCGCCCTGGAGTCCACTGCTTTGGAGGATCCTGAGTCCCTTCACCCTGGGGTGTCTCTTCCTCGCCCTCTTTGCTTTTCGGTGGAGGAGGCTTCCCAGACCCTGGACTTTGCTGTGATTCTACTTTCTTTTTCTCAGTAGGTTCTTTTGCCCAGGGTGTGTGAACGCCTTCTCTTCTCTGTCCTAGGATACTTGCTGGCTCTGGAAACAGAACCCTTGCGTTGCTCTGTCCTTTCACATTCTGGACGTTTGAATTAACGCTGGCGCGGGGGGTTGACATGGGCGGCCTCTTTTTCCCGGTGACTTGCATTTAGAGAGTTGGCGCTCCATCCTCTCCATCCACAGCACGCATCACCCACTCAGCACCTCTTAGAAGATGCGCCCGTAGTGTATAGTATGATTATTCGAAGGGAATTTTGCTCATGTTAAGGGTTGCTTTAGGGTTGTCCAGGAAGAGCCAGGTAGGGAATCTTTCAGTCTGCTTTCTGATTAGCTTAGTTTTCTCACTGTCTTCGCAAAAAGAAGAATTTCCAGGTTAGTTTGCAGCTTGTCTTTCATCAAGCGAAATGCTCATGCTGTTGGGCAGATGGCAATAGAAACCTTTTATTACCTTTATTAAGAGTTGTAGAGCCGAGGAAGAGTGTCTCGGGAGTTGTGCAGGATTGAAACTTAGAAAAAAAGCCTGAAGAAGTTGTTACCTGTTTCTTCAAGGCAGTTCACAAGCCTTACACTAACTTTGCTGGGTCTGTCAGTTGAGCTTACATGATTGCACTTGGCTTTGTGCCGTGGCAGCCAACATTTGCCATGCATGAGCCTTCCCAGAAAGGCTCGGATCCCTCTTCAAGTTTGAGAAGCCTGACTGAGACCATTCTCAGCATGGCATGACCATGATCAGGAAAAGAGAATCTGGAGTTACTGCTAAGGCCGCCTTGTGGGTAGAAATGAGGGTTTGAGATGCCAACACTCCTGTCTCTCCCCACAACTTCCAACTGTTTCCATTGCTCATTTGACCAAGCCGTCTCCTCAGAGAATTGACTCCCAGGAAATGACAGTATAGGCTTTTGTTAGCTGTGATTTTCCTTTTATAAGGGTGGGTGTATGTTTTACTGTTTGGTTTTTCTTTTTAAATAGCAGGGCTTAGTGGTCACTCCCTTGCCTTTCTACGCAAGCATTCCTGTTTTGTATGTGAAATTAGATTTTAAATTGCTCTTGTCAATTGGGTTCTTTGAGGCAATGTCTGTCTATTCAGCACTGGAGCACTTGATTCAGAGCTGATTAACTTTAGCACAGTTAAGGTGGTTCATCCCTTTATTTTACTGTTCCTTAAGACTTTGTTAAAAATTATGGGCTGGGCTCGGTGGCTCACACCTGTAATCTCAACAGTTTGGGAGGCCGAGGCAGGTGGATCTCGTTGGAAACCAGCCGGGCCAATATGGTGACGCCCGGTCTCTAGTCAAAATACAAAAAATGAGCCAGGCATGGTGGCGCGTGCCTGTAGTCCCAGCTACTCCGGAGGCTGAGGCAGAAGAATCGCTTGAACCCGGGAGGCAGAGGTTGCAGTGAGTCAAGATCACACCACTGCACTCCAGCTTGGACGATAGAGCAAGACTCTGTCTCAAAAAAAAAAAAAGCTTTACTGTAGGAATCAGTTCTTTGGGGGAGGGATAATATATCTATGTTATGCTTGCTCTTTTCATCATCCTCCATTTAACCAGGTTTGATTTCCAAATGGTAAAACTGAAACTCAGAACATGAAGGTAAAGTAGCAGTACAGTCTCTGTCTCATAAAATAGAGTAGGGGCCGGGCATGGTGGCTTACACCTGTAATCCCAGCGCTTTGGGAGGCCGAGGCGGGTGGATCACCAGAGCTTTGGTCTTGGAGGCGGAGGGCTCGGGCTGTTCGCGCCAGGCTGGGAGTACCAATGCACAATCTCTGGTCATGCAGGGGGGCTCTCGGGTATTCAAAGCGATTCTCCTGCTCAAGCCCGCCTTTTGTAG